ATATATATATGATGAATGTAACACACAAAACAAAATCCTAATAATTTTCCTCATTTCTGACCCCACTCTAAGAGAAGGAGGAGCACATAAGAAGCCCATGGCCATGAACAGAAGAGGCAGAGTCCCATACAGCAAGGTGCATCCTCCTGGGTCACCACTGATAGGCATGGTGACCAGCCTTACAATTCTCAAAGTCTATAAAATGATGATAAACCCAGAGGATGAGCGTCTTTGGATTGCCTGTGGCTTGTCAGGGACTGTGTAGGTCTGTGTGGTACTATCTCATTCTGGTCTTGTATGACCCTGTGTGGTTCCCATTCTACACAGAGAAACCAAAAGTCAGGTTGCCTGCCCCAGGCCACTCAATAACTACTTTCTGGGTCTGTGTTCTTGCAATCATATTCAATGGAGGATCTTCAAAAGCTTTAAGCTTTGGGATCCAGGTTTTAACTATTAGTTTGCTTTGCTAAATAAAGATGCAAGTTTAGAGGTATTACTAAAAAGAAATAACTATTCTTTCAGATTCTTCCATAGACTACCAGGAAGGCTAACCCTGGGAAAAGAGATTAACCTTTGGAAGGGTCTGGGAACAGCTGACCAAGCTCAAATATAAAAGAAGAGATGTCTCCAGTTTTCTTGCCTGCATGAGTCTGGAAGCACACTCTGGCTGGGTAAGTGTCTCTGGGGACCAGTCCAATGAGGGCAGGAGGGTAGCTCTAGAGTCAGACAGACCTAGGCTCTAGGTGAGGCTCAGGTGAGTACATGATTGCTTTGAGCCCAGGCTGGTGCTCTGGAAATGTGGGCACCACAGGAGCTACCACAAAGGTGCATAAAATGGGAAGGCGGTCCTCTGGCCCCTCAGGCTGATCCTGGCACAGGCACAAATGTTCAGTCCTCATCCTCCCACTTCCCTGCTGCATTTGCAAGCTGCTCAGTTCAGGCAATAGTCACCCAGGTTAGAAGCACACTAGGGTGTGGAAATGGTTGTGAAAGTCAGTCAGCTTAAAGAGTGCTAAAGCAGTTTAGCATGGCACAACCTAACTGGAAAGTAATGTGGCAATGCACAGAGAGGCACAAAAAAGCGTTCATACCCTTTGAACCAGAAATTCCATGTCTGGGAACTTATCCTAAAGAAATAATTCAAAAGAAAGAAAACATTGTATTCATGAAGTGGTTCAGTTGAAAATAATGTAACAGTGGAGGCAACCAAAATGTCTACTAAAAGTAAATGGTGGCAGAAGTCACCAGAGAAACCTTTATGCAGTCATAAGAAATCAGACTTGTTAAAACTGTATCATGCAGCTCAGGGGCAGGGTGCTCGCCTAGAATACATGACGCCTGGGGTTCATTGCCAGCATTGGGCCACAGTAAAGAGAGGGGGAAAGTGGGGAGGAAGCAGGGGTGAATCAAAACTATGGTGTACTCTCTGCCAATATGACAAGATGTCTTTGCAAACAAAAATGGGAGACACAAAATATCTGAGAGTTGTTTGTTTAGGGGGATGAAATACTGAGAATTGTTTTTTCCTTTTTCTTTTTTTTAATGTATTTAGTACAGGGTCGACAGGGTCTACAGGGTCTCACTGCGTAGATTGGACTTGTAGTGATTCTCCTGTTTTCAGCCTCCCCAGTGCTGGGATTAGAGGTGAGCACCACCATGCCCAGTCTCATTCTCCACAGGGGGTGGGGGTGGGGCCGGCAGGAGAAGTTTCTTTTTTCTTACTTTCAAAATGCTCAGATGTTACTTTATTTTCTTTAATGTATAACACATGGTCAAAAAGTAAAGTAAAATATTCTGTTTCTTTAAAGTTAGTAGCAATAAGCACAAAAACTGCTGTGGTCTATAAGAGAATAGGGAATAGAATGTGGGGACAAATAAAACCAAGTATAAATACATTTATTTCATAATGACTTCTAAGGTGACTATAGTGCTTAAATTTAGATTTTGATATTCACTAATAGCCCTCCTCCTAACTCTCTTTTCTCCAGCACTAAGCTTTGGGAGTTTTAGATGATTAAAGAACCTATCTTCTTGCCCACCTAAGACGCTAGAGTGCTTCACCACTGTTGAGCCTGCACCTTCTGACGTTCTGTCAGGCACTGGACTTGCTATATCATAGTTGTACTCTTACCTCTTGTGGGACAACAGCTGAGAGACAAGACGCAGGAGAACTCCCAACTCAAAGAGATTAAGTCACACAGCTAGAGTTGGGTCTTGACCTGCAGTTGGTCTGACTGGTGAACTTGTACTGTTTCTTAACCAGCTCCTTCTTCTGCTCCCACAAATGGATTGGGTCTAGCTCAAGTTCAGAGTTCTGCCTGAGTGTTCTCATTGGATCTCTTTGTCTCAACATGAACTTCCCCTCAAGGCTCAAGTGGCACAGTGGGACTTGCTGTTTAGTCTTACTCTTATTAGTTGTTCACTGTTTTAGCCTTACATTTTGCTCAGTGCTTGGCACCTAGAAAAGGCTCAACAAATATGTCCATTGAAAGAATGGTGTACTTTATAATGTACAAAAGGAAAAGCAACTTTACAGCCAGATGCCTTCCTGAGGCCTGCCAAGCCTACTACTTCCTCCATTATCCCTTCACTGGCTCCTTTCACTGGCTCCCTTCTTATTCTCCTGCACACACTACCTTCCTTTGCATCTCAGGACTGCATGGCTTAGCCTGTGTGGGAAATATTCCCTTCACTCTGACTGGATCCTTCTCACCCTTCAGGTTTCTGCTCAGAGGTAACTACAGAGCAGCTTTCTCTGATCACTCCACCTAAAGCAGAACCCTTTGTCCCTGTCATATCATGCCACAGCTTCCAGGCCCAACTGTAGCCTGCTATCACATCTGGGATTGTTTATTTGCCTGGTGCTCTTATCTCACTGGGTGAAAAAAAAAAAAAAAAAAAAAAGGTCCAGACAGCAGGGGTCTCTGCCCTGGTCCCTTCTGCACCCTGATGCACAGTACTGTATCTGGAACACAGGAATCTAGTAGATCTCTGACAAACGTATGAATGAATAGTTTGTTAAGTCAAGAGTTGTTACCAGTAAGAATTGTTTGACTTCTTTAAGAAGTCTTTAAGGAAAAAAATGATACAGCTTCTAAAAATGACTAGCCCAAAACATGTTAAATGTCTACTTCAGGATTTTTAAATGCCAGACTTTTTAATCTGGCAGTTAAAGGCCTACTCAAGGGGGGGGGGGGAGAAGGGGGAGAAAACTTTAAAATCCAAATGGATACAATGGAATGTTCTCTGGACACAAGCAAAAACCTTGAAACAAACCACCTAAGGCCACAATTCGCTTGCTAAGCCATATACTTTCTTTAGCTTAAACTCAGCACTCCATTGTATTCTAACTTATGAAATGGGCTTGAGGAGCTAAGCTTCTAGAGTCCAGACAGCTGCCTTGCAGTAGGAATGGACAAAGTTGAGAGGTCAAAACTCCTCTTCAGAAGCCAGCCTTCCTGTCTGTCTCTTTCTGTGGTAGATTAACTAATGGCCAACTTGCAAGACCCAGCTGAACTGAATCAGTGTGGAGTTGGGTATGGAAGGCCAACCTGAGGATTGTTGCCAATAGAATAAAAAGAGATCTAGAGGGGAAGATGGTGTGCTGTTCATTCTCCTGGAGAAGCTTGTCACACTGATTTTCCTGTTATGAACTCAACCGTTCTCATCACTGAAGGAGCTGTGCCCTCACTGTTGCTGAGGATGGTTGTGGATCTCTCTCCAGAGGAGCTCTGGTCCCTTACCCTGAACATCGTTTCCTGGCTCTAATACAGATCCTTCATCCTGCTGGCACAGACTTTCTAACTGCCACCATTGATCTTTGAACTTTCCTAGTGCAGATCCTTGATATATATTTGTATAAAACATTGGCATGGTTGGGCTGGGGAGATAGTTCAGTAGAATAAGCACTTGCCTGGCAAGTGCAGGGTCCTGAGCTCAATCCCCAGTACCACAAAAAAAAAAAACAACAAACAAACAAACAAAAAAAACTGGCATGGGCTTTAGGCCTCCAGCTAGACTCATGGAGGATATTACTATGGGATCCAGGCCCTTAGCTGGATTCGTTGGGTCTCTAGTGCATTGTGAGCTCTCTTGCACACTTCTGCATTTGACTTTTTGGATGAATATTATAAAATAATCCTATAAATTGTGTGTCTTGTATTAAATCTATTTCCTTGTAAACCCTAACTAAAATAGAAATTGTACCAAATTGTATCAGTGGGATCATTGCTGTGACTATACCTGACCATGTGGTTCAGGAACCTTTAGGACTGGCTTGTGGTAAGTTTGAAAAGCTTTGGGGATGCCACCTAAAAAATGCAGAGTTGGAATGCCACCTTAGTCTATACCATATGGGAGAGTCTGGTCATACCTCAGAGTACCAGAAACCTTAAACATGAAGCTCAGAAGGTTTCTTCTGAGAAGAACGACTGTATTAGCTGTTGGACTTCAAATGATGTGTGTTACAGCTTGGCAGAAAGTTTGTCTGCACTTCGCTTGTGTACAGAGACTGCCTGAGACTGAGATTAAGGGTGATGGACTAAAGAATCAGGCAGAATAAATTTCAAGGCACTCCAATGCTGAGGCTGTTGAAGGCTTTTGAGCCAGATCTATGATGAGAATGAAAAACAAAGAGCACAGCAGAATGATTTGAAGCACTGTGACTTTGCTCTAGTAAATGTATGGACTGCGAAGACAGAGAAGAGCCTGATTGCTAAGAGAGAACAGGAGACTAGAAAAGTTGGCCTATAGTCATAAAAACAGCATCAGAACTTCACCCTTTGCAGCCTCAAAATTGAAAAGTGAAAGACATTCCTTTGAGAAGAAAGCCACACAGCACCATATTCCAGAATGGGGGTGACCTAGTAAAGTTTTCCCTTGTGACTGGATTCAGAGTGCTCAGCAATCCAGGCACTTGACTCCTATAGCTAAGAGAGAAGGAAGCCTGGCTACTGCTCCTGGTGGCAGCAGACCCTGGCATCATCCACACAGTGCTAATCTCAGGCATATGCAGAATGGAAAAGTTGTGAGGTCAGGAAGGCTTCTACCCAGATTTCAGAAGAAGGCCAAATGCCCATGAGAGGACAGTATGTGAAACTATGAGTGGGAAGCCAAAGGTGCAGTGGAGACCCCAGAAATTTGGAAGCCAAAAATATGGATCCTTTGAGGAAAACTGTAAGGAGGGAGCAGAGCCAGCCCAAGAGAGAAACTATGGGAGCCATAACCACCAGCAATAGCATAGGAATGGAGCCACCCAAGTCCTCTGGAGTACACATCTTGCCATAGATGCTGCACCTGGAACTACCGGACTTAATGTTTTCCCTGATGTATTTTGGACTTGCTTTAGCCCCATTCCTTTGTATCCTACTGTTTGTAACTTTCGGAATAGAAATGTCTATTTTGTAACATTCAATGTTGAAAGTGTTAAACTTTCTTTTCATTTGTACAGGGGCTCATAGCTAACAGTTTGCCTTAAATCTCAGAGGAGACTTTTGGCTTGGACTTTTCAGCAATGCTGAATCCGTCAGGATTTTGGCAACTCTTGGAGATGGACTAAATGCCTTTTTACATAAAGGGATGTGCATGAGTCTTTAGCAGCTAGAGGTGGAATGCTATGGTTTGTGTCTAGATGTCCCCTCAAAGCCTCATGTAGCCATGGAGGTTCTTTGAGGTGGCTAATCCTAGAGTATGATTGATTCATGGTGCAATGCTGGGATAAAGGGTTCTGGGATTAAGGGTGGGTAATTGCTGGGGATCAGCCCACTGATTGGATTGGCACTGCCAATTCTGATAGACTGGACACAATATAAGGGACAGAAAGAAGCTTGTCTTGCTCTTTCTTGCTGCTTTTGCTGCTATATACTGTTGCCCCTCTGCCATGTGCTACCCTGCCTTGAAGCCAGCTGATTATGGACTCAAACCTCTATAAACTGAACTAAATAAACTCTTTCCCATTTAACTCTGGGTGTTGGGTATTCTGTCTCAGCAATGAGAGAAAAGTAATTAAGACCCTTTCTTTCCGTCTCTGTCTCTTTCTTGGTACTGAGGATTAAAACCAGGGCTCTCTATCACCAAGCAAAATGCCTAGTGCTTTTAATTTTTATTTTAAAAATTTTTATTAGTATATGGTTGCAACACATTATGGTATTCTTTGTGTGGACTTAGTACATGTATCTAACACAACACATCTTGCTTCTCTTTTCACCTCCCCCAACACTGGGTTTTCTTGCCATTTGAGAGAGAACTATCTCCTTACTTCCTATCATATATCTTTTATTTTGCTCTTTATTTACATGTTGGATCTCTCATGTAAGAGAAAATGTGGGCTACTTAAGCTTGTGTGTCTGACTTAATTTCACAGTTTCCTACAAATGACTCAAGGGCATCCTTGTTTGCGGCAGAGTAGCACACCACATTCTTTTAACCATTCATCTGCTGAAGGACACACATCCTGCTTTCAAGATTGAAATATGTATGATAATAGTACTGCTATAAATATGTTTATAGGTATTACTATAATATGATGACTTTAACTCTTTTGGGAAGACATCAAGAAGGGGAATAGCTGGGTTGAATGGAATTTTTAGTTTCAGTACTGGTTCAGTAGGAATCTTCATACTAATTCCCATAGTGATTATACCAGTTTACATTACCAATGAATATGTTTGAGGCAGGGTCTCATTAAGTTGTGTAGATTTGGACTTCAAATCATGATTCTCCTGTCTCAGCCTCCTGTGATGCTGAGATTACAGGTGTGTACCACCTTGTTGGCCTGATTCTTTTTCTTTCTTTCTTTCTTTCTTTCTTTCTTTCTTTCTTTTTTTTTTTTTGTATTTAGTACAGGGTCTCACTACACAGATTGGACTCATAGTGATTCTCCTGTTTCCAGCCTCCCAAGTACTTGGATTATAGGTGTGTGTGACCACACCCAGTCTCAGTTGCTCTCTCAGTGTGCCCAGGGCCGGGGCCAGGATGGCACTCCAGGAATCAATCCCTAGTTCCTGTGCCTGCCTAAGCAGGTACTTTAGTCTGCTAAGCTTACCTGGCTGGCCCAGCACATTTTTTTTTTTTTTCATTTTATGTATTTAGTACAAGGTCTCACTATACAGCTCGGTCTCGTAGTGATCCTCCTATTTTCAGCCTCCCCAGCACTGGGATTACAGGCATATGCCACCATGTCTAGACTCTGGCTCAGTGCGCCCTGGGGGCAGGGTCAGCATGGCATGTGGGACTGGGAATCAAACCCCTGGTGCCTGTGCTTGTCAAAGCAGGCGCTTAGCGAGCTGAGTTATCTCGCCGAGGCTGAGCCATCTCCCTGGCCCTGATTCTTGAAATCACAGCAGGGAAGCTCTTCTAAAGTGGATGACTTTACTTTAAGAGGCCTGTCCTATTTTATTTCATTATATTACTCAGAGTCTCTGGGACTCTAGTGCTGATTTTGGAAACTGCTTAGACACACAAAGGTTTATTAGGAGCCACCAGAGAAACTGAGGTACCCTCCCAACAGCTCTATCTGCGCTGCAGCCAGCCATCTAGGCTATGTATTCCACTGGGGGCAAGAACCATGGGCAGCATAGCCCAGAGCTTACAACTATGTGGGGGCAAAGGGAAAAAGAACTACTACTATAATGACAATGGCCTTCAGTGTGCATGGCTTCCCTCAGGACCACACAATAACTCTGCAAAGGCAGGCATATTCAACACTGTAGATGAAGACAGTTACTTAGAGTAAATATACAACCTGTTTCCTATTACATGCCTGATACAGTACCCTTAATTTCTCCTATTTTTCCTCTATGGATAGGCACTGGCCCTCACTCAACAAGGTGTGATGTCATGAAACAATGTTAAGAGGTAACAGCCGAAGTCCTCATCAGCTCCAAGGTTCCACGATCTGGCTCTCCCCTGCCGGACTCCTGACTTCCCACTTTGCTCTGGCTGTTTGGTGATGACACAACATGGTTTTGCCTTTCTCAATGCCTAGTCCAGTCCTGCACAGCCTTGACTTAATGGCTACCCTCTCTGGTACCTGTTCCCTCTGGGATTAGGGATTTGCCCTCACACCACATTAGTGGCAATGGAGTAAATAGACTGTGGTATCTTTCCCCCTCTGGCCCTTTAGACCAATTCCTTGAGGGAAGAGTTGTGTTTTCAATATCCCTGTGTTCAGCCCCAGGAGGGGCTAGAAGATATGACAGCTGCAGTGAGAGGCAAGGGGTCAGAATGCTTAAAGGACTGGGCTCTGGAAGCCACATTGCTTGGGCCAATGGGTGGGCAGGCTCCTGACAGTCTGCGTGACTCCTAGCAAATTGCTTGACCTCTCCTTCCTCTCAGATGCTTCCTCTGTGACATGTCACAATAGTGCAAGGCTGTGAAAGTAAATAAGGAAACCCCTTGCAAAGAACAAATATAAGGGAGCCACTTTATAGCACAGAATACTCATTTACAGAATAATTAGAAAGGCTAATGACCAAGAACCAAATGAAGGCAAGGTTTTGGCTATATACCTGTATCTCAGAGCTTAATTGAAGCATCTGCGGCAGAGCTCTTTTGGCCCCAGGACACTGAAGCCCAGCAGTGGGTGATCTGCTGGAACCACAGAACCACACTGAGAATATTTCCTAGCCCAAGCAGTAAAGGGCAAATTTGTTAGCAAATTTGTTAGAGGAGTCATCAACATGCTCCTCCCCTTTCAGAACGAGTCTTCCAGTGAAAGCTAAAAATGCCAAAAACAGATGCTACTGCCCAAATAAACTGTGAGTCTGGCCAGTGGGGATGACAGTGCTTGAAGAAGCATGTGGAAGGAAGGTGGCAGCAGCTGGGCAGGGTGGGCCTGTGGTGAGCCTGTGGGTTTGCAGACAGCTGAGAATGTGCATAGACTCAAGACATGTGGGTCCCACTTCCTCTGTACCTCACTCCCTGCTGTCGAGGCAAAAATGTCAGCTGGGTGGAAGGAGGTTGCAGATTCCTCTTGTCTGAGGTCACCCAGCAGGTCACTCCTGCTTTCCAAAATCCCAAAGTGAAACACCTCTTCCATTCTAGCACACAGATTAACTCACAAGATGTGGGCTGATAATGAGAACTGCGTACAATCAATTCCTCTAAATTATCCACTGATATTCACATCTCTAGGGAATGATTTTCTAGGAAAAGGCTGTGGTGCTTTCTAAGAAAGAAACCATGATCTTACAAAGGAGATAAAATACCGTGAATAGCCCAACTGAGACCGCTTCCTAGAGCACTCGCTTCAGCAAAAACACTGATAAGGGAAGTGCCTGCTCCAGCTGTTTCTAAGAACTCTCTGCTCTTCACACTTGTTTCTCTCATAGGCTGGTAAGATTCACAATTTCACTTGCGTGTGCCTAGCCCCAAGATGAGCTAGATACTTAACATCACGCCATCTCTGGGGGTCGTGCGATCTCAGGGCTTAGATTTCACACCAACTTCACCTACACTGGCTGCTCTGTGCTCTGCCTTCCGTTCATAGAAGTCCTGTCTCCTGGCTTCCACTCCCCGGGCTCAGGACTCAAGCTTTCCTCTGCACTGTGAATGTGGCCTATCTGCAGCCACAATGGTGCCTGTACAATGGAATTCTAGCCTCCACTTGCTAAAGGGTGGCAAGTATGTGGGTGAGGAGTGCTCCCCTTAATAGCTGGGCTGGAGACAGGCTCCAGATTTTGACCTACGGCCCCTTCCTCACTGGCTTGAAGAGATGTGACAAATGGCTTCCTGGGAGAGATAAGTCTGGCCCTCACTCACCCGCCGGGTCTTCTCCACGTCACCACAGGGCAGCCGCTTCACAAAGTCGATGCCCGTCAGTGGTGTGCCTGTTGGAGGCAGCAGGATGGAGGCATCCATCATGAGATATTCCACATTCATGGGCTTCATCTAGGAGAGACACCACAGGAAATCTCACCGAAGGTCCTTCCCTTGAGGTGGAAGAGGGCATAGGGGCAGGGAACCCAGGCCCCCACCCTCACCCACTCATCAGGGAGTGTTGTCAGCCTGGGCTTAGAATGGGACCAAGCTTCAGGCCTGCCATAAGTGGGAGTAATAATCCTTTTTTGCTTTCTAAATTGCATACTTTTTCCTTATGAAGCCAGAGGGCCACAAAGCCAATTAGCATAGGTTGCCTGCCTTTTCCTTGTGGACACTTACACTTAAGTACTTGCTGCCAAAGGCTTGAGGTCTGCTGCCTCAATCCCTGTTTCTCAGCAGGGGTGGCAGAGCCCCATTTCTGTTTCAACCCCCTCTTGGCACCTTTCAGCAGCACCCCATCAGCCTTTCCCTTTGGCTCAGTCCCCTCTGCTTTACTCCCCCGTTCTTTATAACCTTCCTAGGGAGCCGCTGGCAGCCTTCCATGGGGGAGATGGATGCTGTGTGCACATACTTTTAGCGCCATACTGGGGGCACTAAGGCAAGCAAGGGAAGTATCAGATGCCAAGGTTTGCCTTCAGTGACGCATCTCCAGCAGCACTTTAGGAACTGTCTCCACCTCATTTTCTCAGAGGCTGATTTCTTAGGGACTGAGCTGAAGACTGCCTTCAGCTGCTTGGTCTGGGGTATGTCACCTTTGTATTTCTGTAGAACATCAGGCACTGGGCAGGACACACCACAAACATTTGATTAAAACAAACAAGGGGCCTGGGAGATGGCTCAGTGGAATAAGCGCTTCCCTGGCAAGCGCAAGGGCCTGAGTTCAATCCTCGGTTCCGCCAAAAAAAAAGAATTTTAATAAAAAACAAACAAACAAAAAAAAAAAAAAAACAGGAAAGTTTTTGTAGGGTAGGAGGGAGAAGAAACAAATTATATTTTTTACACATGGACTTTGCTCAAGTCATCTCACTGGGTATTTCACATCCACCCTGGGCAGCAAAGTGGAGTGGAGCTCAACGTACAGGTTAAAAAAAAAAAAAAAAAAAAAAAAATCAAGGCTCAGAATTTAAGCAACCTGTCACATAATTAGTAAACAAACAAAAGCAAGAGCAGGGGGTTTAGGAGCCTGAGCTTCTCCACATCACAAATGACATGTGAATGCTACATTTCCAAAGAGAAAATCAAGCTGGGAGGACCACATTGCATAAGGGAGGTGGGGGAATAAAATGGCAAATAACCCCTAATCCACTGCACTCTGACTAATAGTCTGACGAGCAGAAGTCTAAGCTACCTTCTAAAGAGCTAGCGATGTTAGGGGGCTGAGCACATCAAAGGCAGCGAGGTACAGTTACAGCAGCATACATGCCACAAGGATGCCTGGCCACTGCAGACTGTGGAGCCTGCAAAAGCCTCCACACAGGCATCAGGTGCACAGTGACAGAGATATGGTAAGGGGTCTGGACTCCAGACCCCCATGGGCAGGCTAGGAAGCCAGGTAGCCACTTAGCTGAGTTGCCTGCCTTTTTCTTTTTAGCACTTTAAATGTTTAGGTTCATTATAAATGTCCCAAATTACTTCATACTTTGGTGAGTAATGTCCATGCAAGGACAATTTATTATCTATTTATTGAGTACCCATTTGGCGTTAGGTACAGGAGATGCAGATTGATTGGGAACAAGTCAGAAAGCCCTGATCTTCTGGGCCTATCACCTGCTGGGGGAGGAGGACGGTGCTGCTGCAGCACTGGCACCTTCTGCTACAGCAGCAAGGAAGGAGGCAGCGCCAGGCAGGGAGCAGGGCAGAGGGCTGGGAGGCAAGATGCTTTGCTCTGGAAGCCTCACTCTGCCACAAAAAGCTGGGACAGATTTGGGGACATTAATTGAACTCTCACTTCCAGTTTCCTCATCAGCAAAAAGAAGGCAATGCCATTAGCCTTCAGTTGGTATGAAGATGAAACAATTTAATATATACAATGTGCTTTACACTCCGGGCCTGGAGCAAGTCCTTAGCTAAAAGATACCCTCGCCAGGATCATTCAAGCCACAGGGAATCTTTCTGACCCATCTTACAGACACAGTGCAGGGAGAGTGAAGTAACCTGGAATTTTACTGGTGATGGGATCCAAAGACTCTTTGCCGCTCATCAGGAGGCCCCAGAAAGACAGAGGCCATGTGGGTCTGGCAGGCACACAGGTACTTGTCAGTTCAGGTGAGTCCCGGGCCCTTACTTACTGTCATGCTCCTGTACTCATCTTCAAACATGTCCAAAAAAATTTCTTCCCCCTTAAAAAGAAAGGAATAGAGGAAAAGATACATCCATCTATCTATCTATCTATCTATCTATCTATCTATCTATCTATCTATCTATCTAGATTTCCCCCTCTCCCTGTATTTTAGGGAAGAGTCTACAGGGTGTTTAGGGTCTCACTACTAGAGCAGACTTGTAGTGATCCCTGTTTACAGCCTCCCAAGTGCTGGTATTACAGGTGCACACCACCACACCCAGTCTCAATTGCTGTCTCAGTGTGCCCCAGGGGGCGGGGCTGGCACAGCAGGCCCAGGGATGGAACCCCGGGCTCCTAAGCCTGCTTGTAGGCATTTTAATCCACTGAGCTATTTGGCCAGCCATTAAGATTTATATTTTCCCCCATAAACACAGAATTACAAACTCTAGCTCTCATCTTTACAGACCATCTGTTTTTTGTCAGTGGTCTCTTATAAATCATCAGGATATAAAATACACAAGTGAACATGTACACATATTCAAATGAAAGATCAAATCTCAAATTGCACTATTCAAAACCTTTTTCTTTCTTAAAAAATGTTGAGTTAGAGCTCTTCTTTCAAAGCAATTAATTAGAAAGCATGTCTGTAATCTCTGCACTCTGGGAGGCCGAGGCAGGAGGATCAAAAGTTCAAGCCTAGCCTGGGAAATTTGATGAGTTAACAATAGCAAGACCCTGTCTCAAATTAAAAATTTAAAAGTCTCAGTTTTAAGTCCCAGTACAAAAAAAGACTTAAGTACTTGTGATAATGACAGGAGATATAAGAAATCCTAGCTAAGTCACCATGTTAAAAAATGCGAAGTTCTACATTTCTGGGAAGAAGAGTATAATTAAGAATGCTTAAAGCTAAAATTACATGGTTCTTTCCATTTGCTTTTGAGACAAGCTCTTGGGGCCTTGTAGGTCTTCAGGCTAAGGCTCTGCCCAGGAGCTGTCCTTCAGAACAGAGCTTGGGGTAGGAACTTGGGTCTGCAATATATAAACCTGGGACCATTTCCCAGCCTACTTCAAGAGTCTCTGTTTTACTGCAAGGATGGGAAAACAAAAAGAAAACAAGAAAGATTCAGCCATGTTGTTGGGTCATTCATTGTAATGGTGAAGTGAATTAAAGGTGAAGTACATAAAATGCAGAGTGCAGAGCCGGCTGCTCAGTCAGGCTGGAGAACTGTCAGTGTGCAAGATCACAGGCAGCTCCGCTAGACAATGATTGTTAGGACTATCCTGCCTCTTATCATGGGATACACACACAGTCAGGGTGGGAAAAGGCACAGATCAGAGGTCTCTTATATTTTTCCACTTGTTAGAACTACATATGAACTTGAAGTTTTTTGCATGGTAAAAGGAGCACCAAAAAACTGACAACCCTCAAGAACATCTGTAGGTGTTATAGTGATTGATATAGGAGAAATATAACTCCCAACCTGCGAGATGTCAGATATGCTGTTTGTGTTCCTTGAAAGTGAAGACTGAATCCCAAAGGACAACAGAGGTTAAGCACAGAAAAGACTGAAAGATAGCTCCTGAGAGACAGAAGGGGGTCCCCAAAATGGATTGCCACTGAGACCCTTTGCCAGGGGTAATTTATACAGCAAATTTAAAATGTAGGTACGATGTGGGTCAAACTACAATCAACCTATAGAACTACTAGTATAACTGCTTAGCTAATATTGACCCAATTGGGAAGCGAGTCAAGTAGCAAGGGTACATGGAAAGCACAAATTCACTGTGGGGAAGAGATGAGTCCAGATGCTCTGATCACCTAGCCGAGTGACTTATATCCATCTGAATTTTATGGAACTAGGTGATACCAATCACAGCACACACTCAGGTTATCTTTTAGTCCTCAGGGAGGCTTGAAGGCCTGGTCATTGTTTCTTTATCTTGAGGCTGACCTTCAACAGATGTGTACCATCCACACTTTTGGTGTGCTCTTGTCTTTTTGCATGGGCTGTCTTGAGGGCCTGTCCCTGTCTGACTGCCTATTAACTTCTATCTAACTTAGCTGCCTATAATAACAGGATAAAAGAGAAATCTGGATGGGAGAAAGGAACCAAAATTCAAATACACCTCTCTTTTAATTAATAGAAGAAAATCACCTTCAGAAAAAATGCTTCCCTCTATGTCTTTCTGTTTTTGCAACCCAAAAGCTTTGGGGGAGAATAAAACTTAGGGCAGCAATCCTGGAAAGAGAGTCAAAGACAACCAACTCAACTACACAGTTTCTACTTTGTTCTGCACTTGCTAGCAGGGCTATATTCTCCCTTAAAGGTCAAACTAGGATTTCTTCCCCAGGGCACGGGAGGCCCATAGGAAGCCACCTTGTCTGGACATGGGGTCTACAGAACCTGTTGAAGTAGATTCCCAGATTATAGGACCTGGTTTTACCTTAACAAACATTGACAATAATGGATTGTGGCTTAAAAGCCTCCTGTAAAGAAATAGCAGTTTAAAAAGAATACAAATAATGAAAGCATAGGTGAACAACAGAAAATGGCAACAATGACACCTTTCCCCTGCCCAGGAGGACCTGCATTAGCTCTTTATGGGGGAACCATTGCTAGTAAGATCTGAGGAGCTCTGCTATGGAAACCAAAACTCAGAAAATTACTAGGACTGTCTGACAAACATTAATCCAGCATGGCTGACAATGATAAGCCTTGCCTAAGGGTAAAGTCTGAATGTTTACATCTCCCCAAAATTTGTATGTCAAAATCCCAGTCCCAGGGTGATGGTGTTAGGATGTAGGGCCTTTTAGAGGTGACTAGATCATAAGGATGACCTTACAAAAGAGACCCCAGAGCCTATCTGCCCCTTTCCACCATGTGGAAACACAGGACAAAGACACCATCCTCAAGAAAGCAGGCCCTCTCCCCAGAGACTGGGTCTGCCTTGGTCTGGGATATCCCAGTGTCCAGAATTATGAGAAATAAAGCTCCATTGCTTGTCAGCCACCCAGCTGATGGTATTTTGTTACAGCAGCCCTAATAGACATATGCCTTAAGATAAGACCTAAGCAGAACTGGGATGAGAGTGTGCCTCAGTGGTTGAATGCTTGCCTAGCATGTGCCAGGCCCTGGGTTTGATTCTTAGAACCATACCAAACAAATGAACAAATCCAAAAAAACTGACACACATATACACAGACACAGATATTTTAAAATCATGGTGGTACTTTATAAAATCTCCCTAAACCTAATATAAAAGTTTAGACGTTCTTAGTACATATGTGTATAACTAATATACATATATAAAAATGTATATAACTAATATACATAAAATCATAAATCAGTCATAAATAATTTTAGATGTATTAGTATATGTAACTTATGAACATAAGTTCATCAGGTATTATTTATTTATATGTATATGATTTGTGATTCACATAGAAATTCATAAATACTCATAAGTAATTGCTAAACTGTCATAAACTAGGAGTTCTCAAAAGTTTGACCAATAAGATAGTATGAAAAATTCAAACACCATTAGCTGTCTCAAAATAAAAAAATAAAACAAATGGGTACAAATGCCCCAGAGCAATAATACTCAGTACTGGGGTGGGAGCTCAGAGGTCATTGCTCTGAGACTATGAAATCAAGCGTTTTCATTTAGTGATCACAGGTACAAAGAATACTGAAGGCATTTAACCTATTACCCGCTTCCTACAAGACACCCACACTGAAAGTCACCTTATAGAAATGCCGCACCAGGTGGACACTCTCTTCTTTTGCACCCTGTTAAAAGAAAGAGCATGGTCTTATTGAGGCAAGCAGGTCAGGTTCATTACCAATTCTGCAAACAGAGTGCATGTAAAACAGACATTTGACTGATATTCCTTAATATATAAAATGATTCTTAGAGAGGGAAGAAGGGTGAGAGGCAGAACTCAAAATGCAAATTGACAGAAGGCAGTAATTCAATGTGATAACATGTGAAGCTTGTTAATGTACAATTAAGTGTGTGCATGTGGGTCAGTAAGTTATGGCCATTATGACTCCCCTTTTACAAAATACAGTTTTGTTTTTTGTGGCTGGCTCACCCCGCCCTAGGGGCAGGGTTGACACAGCATGTGGTACCAGGGATTGAACTGTGGTCCCTGTACTTGCCTAAGCTTGCCTAAGCAGGTGCTTTAGACCACTGAGCTAACTCACCAGCCCCAGAGTTCTTTTGTAAGTGTGTGTATGCATATATGTGAGAATGTACCTGCATACCCACACCTAAGAATGCACTATACTTGTTACTTTGTATCTCCTTCCTAAATTTTCTTTAAAAACAAGGATGTACAGGGGGACAATAGAAGCTATCAAAACTTAATGTATATTTTAGTACAGAAATCATAAATAATGTGTATGTTTATGTATGAAAGTTTCATAATAAAAAAGGAATAACTTTCAAATCCTGGGAGCAAACACAGAACCAAATAATTATAACATGCTACTAAAATGTAAAGAGTAAGTAGATTGACCCTTCAAGGGAGTCTTGGTTGAAAGGAGCTTCTTTCTGGACTAGGCTCCTATCTGGCTTCCCTCCTGAGCTCTTCCACTGTCCTGGGCCCATGGGAATGAGGAGAGGGGAGGCCTCACCTCCAGGCAGGCCAGGTGCACGTCCTTTATGATACAGCCAGAGCTGGTCAGGACTTGCTGCTTCAGGAGCAGGCAGCTCAACTCCAGAGTGGCCAGGCGGATCTTCCCATCTGTGGAACACAGCAGGGTCAGCCTTGCAGCCCCAGGAGCAGGGCCCTAGAACACAGGCTCTGGGTTTCCTATGTGAGGCTAACAGGCATGAAAGGGGGAGCCCCATATGCCAACCCCCTTCCAAGTCTATTAGCATTCAGTGTTCTCAACATAGCTGCTTATATCATATAATGATTTAGATCAAGGATGTACCCCAAAGGGAGCATGTGCTCACAGATGGGGCTTTTGGAAGGTAACTAAATCAAGTGGGTGATAGGGCTGACCTGCTGTCAGGAGGTGGGGTCTGGTGAGAAGGAGCAGGTCACTTGGGATAGGACCTGGAAGGGTCTGTCTCCCTTCTAGGCTCTTTCGCTCTGCTTCCTGGCTGCCATGACTTGAGCCGTTTTGCTCTCCAGCCCTTGCTAGCACACCTTTTCTGCCTTGAAGCCACTCAACTATGGACTGAAACCCAAATAATCTCTCCTCCTAGTTGTCAATGTCAGATACTGTGTCACTGAGGCATATCAAATAGGTCTCTAAGGTCCCTTTATCAGGGAGTGAAGAGGTTAAAAAAAGAGGCTAAGTGTTGCAAAGGCCTGGGAAGTAGCTCCCTGTGTGCCACTGCTGTTTCTGTCTAGCACTCTTTCCCTATCTTCAGGAACGACACCAATCTTTCCTCTAAAGAACACCCAGCAACACCCTAGGCCATGTGATTTGGGTGGCACTAACCCCCTTCTAAAGAAGGCACATCACCCAGGTTGCGCAGGGTGTTACATTCCTAGGGTGGCAGTGATTAGGTGAGGTCTGGTGAGGAGTCAGCCAGGACTAGTGAGGTTCAAGTCTGTGGCTGGCTGGAACTGGGAATTGCTGGGCAAGAAAGTCTGTCCTTTCATTGGACACAGAGAAAACAGAAACACTGGTGAGTCTCATGGGGCACATGCACTGTAATCTACTATAGCCAACTCCTTACCTGGCCAGTGTTCTCAATCTCCATAAAATATTCTGCAAATAGAGCTTTGGGATCTCCCTTCCAAAGTGTCTGCCACAGAGCATGTGCAAAGCACAGCTGGAGCTGCTAGACGTTTACCTTGCCAACTCAGAAGGTAGCACAATCCAAACACAGTCTTGAAAACATTTGAGCCTCTAAATCTAGCTGTGCCTCAGGCCAGACCCTGACAGCCAACATAGCTTTGTTTCTGCTTGAACTGTTTACAGTAGTCTAAGGTGGGTCTCTATTAACTGTAATGAAGTTCTGACTAACACGACTTGCTATGCTAACCTGCTGTGAGCCAGGCATTGTGCCAGGTGCTTTATGTGCACCTTCCTTCTCAAGAGACCTCTATAAAAACTCATCGCAATCGGTGCCTCTAAACACTGATACTAAAGAAAATGCAATGATTTGCCTAGAGCCTCGCAGTGGGGGGAATGGCAGACCTCAGGTGCTCTGCATGCCAAAGCTCTAGCTGCCACCTCTTATAGAAGAATCTGCAACTGCTCAAACAACAACTGCTCTTATGCAAACCTCCCCATGAGTCTTTAAGCTTATTTCGAGGCAAGATGTTGGCAAGAAAAAAGCCAGAGAAGCGGAGTCTCCAGACCTTGCCTCCAAGCATGGATGGATACATCAGGGATGAGGATGAGCCCCTGAGGAAAACCCCACACAACTCCCTGCTTACCCTTTGTTAATGTTCTGAAAGTCAGAAGGAAACAGATGAGAAGAACGAATATATGCTTAAAATTGAAAAGCTACATGCACACAAAATAGGCCTTCTTAAGCATATAAACCACAGGAACCTCCCTGGAAAATGCTGACTGGCCTTCTCTCAGTGACCTTCTGGCCCCATGACTAACAGCGTCTGATCACTGCTGGGCCTTGCTGGGTCAGTGTGCCTCTGGAGCAGTCTTACTCTACCTGTCCCTGTGCCAATCCTCTTTGCTGGCCCAGTCAGTCAAATCTGACCTTGTATGACACTGTTCCCCTCAAGGACTCTTGTTGCTGCCTAAAGGGAGAGGTATGTGATTTCCACTATTCCCTATTCCCACTGGCTCACCCAGAGAGAAGGGCTTCTGACACTGTAAAACCTGGCAAGAGAGGGCTGGTATGGAGCAGAAGAGATGGTTTCAGGGGTAGAGGATGAAGTGACTCAGAAAAAGACACAGTTATAGTACTGGTGACCAGAACATGGAAGGGGGAATAAGTGAGATTTGCTTGGATTCTTAGAAAGGCCAAGTCCAGAACCCTGAAGTGGTGGTACAATTTAGGGACCCAGTCTCTCTGACAGACAAGGCCCCCAGGCTGGCACCTGGCTGGGCAGCATTGTTCATGATCCTAATGAGTCTTTCAGCCAGTAGATGGTTGTAGGTGGTCTTCTCAGCCACATTTGGTACTGGCAGCTGGATCCGCTCCAGTTTCTCAGGATCTATGCCTGGAATGAAAACACAGAAGAGGTGAGCACAAGTGCCTCACTGGGATACCTGGCCCCCTCCGGAAAGGCGTGTAGAGCAAGATTTCCTCAGCACTTGACAGTCTGTCTTTGTGGCCCCAGGGATGCTCTACCTTGCTTAAAAAGAGACTGGCAGGCACTTAATGTTGAGGACAGCCTAGCATCAAATGGTAACATCCTTCTGGACCAGTGGTGGAGAACCTATGACACATGTGCTATTGTGTTTTTCTTTTAAGGCAAAAGATGTTAACAAGCTGTTTTTTTCTAAACTAAAACCTTAGCATTAAGTTTAGTTGCAGTGTTGGTACTTTGTGATAAATAAATGAGTTTTGAATTATAGTTCGGCATTCAGTCTCTATAAAAGTTCACCATCACAGTCCTAGACATTAAGAGGAAATAGTTCCAGGTCTGTATGCCACCGGAGGCTACGTGTGTGTTAGGCACATTCACACTTGGAAAAAGAAAGGCCTAGAGAAACAAACCAGACATACAAGACCTCATTCAGACCTTCAAATTCATAACACCAAAGTCAAAGAGCTGGGTTACACCCTTAAGACACACTCAAGGGAGACAGGTGTGGTGGTATATGCCTATAATCTCAGCACTCAGGAGGCTTGGGCAGGAGGGCTGAAGCCCAGCCTGGGAGTTCAAGGCTAGCATGAACTACATAGTGAGGCCTTGTCTCAAAACAACCCATCAGCTAAAAATACACTCCAGGGTACTAGGTCCCCAGCTGGGTGGGGAAGACACCACCCTGCCCCTGCTGAGGTTGGCATGAGCAGAAAGGGACTAAGCTACACTTCAGTACAGACAGGTGGATACACAATGAAACCAGGAGAGCAGATCTATTACCAAGGAATCATTTTTCCACCATTGAAAATTCAAAAGTCTTTCCTGTGAAAACTAAAAATACTTAAAAGACAAAACATGAGATGGGGCTGTGCGGAGTGAGTGGAGAAGTAAGGATGGAAGGGGAAGTCTACACCTATGAACCATGTCCCTATTTTTCATAGGGAAGAAGCTCACAGTGGGAGTAGCAGGAAGACTGATCAGGGCTACCAGAACAGTCTAAGCGAGGGACAAGTGCATTCCAACTCTTATCCTCCCATATAATATGGCTCTTGAGAAATTCATTAGTTGAAATAAACATTTCACTTGATCCAAGCTTAGAGACCCCAGCAAATTGTTTGTGCCTAAAGCACATCTTTTCCTGTTATTCCACAAAAGGGGGGATGGTGGCACTTCTCGGAACTCTTGAAATACGGCCCGCTGAGTACCAGATAACACTTCATTTAGAACCTTGACAGAATGGTGAGGAGAGCAGTGGAGAGCTCACTGTTCAGGTCCTAAGTACCTCCTACATGCACACTGACGTAAGAAGTCATAACAATATATCTTGCTTTACTGAATCCCTTCTAGCTCTGAGCAAGAGAGGCTCAGTCATACTGAGGAGATGACATGGATGAGGGAGGGCCAAAATCGTAGGATTCTCTCACCCTCCCCACAAGTGTGGCTTTGTCAAACAATCTGAATGCAGTGAAAGGAGGGTCAGAGGATATTAAAAACTTCAGTTGTGGCCTGGAGTTTGAACTTAGCCCTTTCCTTTATTGAGAAAATTAAGACATAGAGAGGTTACGCACTTCCCTAGGGTCACAAAGGAAGTCAGTGGCACAAGCCCCTTAGATGATTCCCAATGCGAGGCTTTGTTTTCATACTTCGCTCCTTTGAACCTCAGTCTTCTACCTGTGAAATGGTAATAATTATGTTGACCACCCATCCCAGCATAGCTGTTAGCATCAAGTGAGGAAAAGCACACAGCCACATTTCAATAAATGTTGCTGCTCTCTGTTGTGCATGGGTGGGAACTTTTAGTATATTAATGTATTTCTATATTCTGTATGTTACAAATGCAGAGAGAACAGAAAAAAAAAAAACCTAACAAAAGCTGAACTCAAGCTGTCGAAGGAGGTTTAAAGGTCTGCTGAGTTGTCTGAGGACATTCTTGGGGCACAGTTGGCTCAGGTGGAGTCTGAAGGATGACCAGGAGTCTGCCTTGAGCTGCACAAGGTGGGTCAGGCCTTGCCAGGTCTGGGGAGAACTGCAAGGACTAGAGCAGAGTTTGGGTATTGCTCAACAAGAGGCTGGGGCAAAATGAAGAGCTAGATGTGGCAAAAAGGGACAGGCAAAGCTTGGGTACCCAGACTCCTGGAGGAAGACTGAAAGAGTGGCATCTGGTACCGAGGGCCAGGGCCGTGTTCTGGCTGACTCTGTTCCCCCCACTGCTTCCAGACCTTCTCCTAAAGCCCTTCCCTAAAACAGCCCCAGCACTGTACTGCAGTCCCGGAAGAGATCCGACCACCAGCCCCAGGGTCACCAAGGCAAGGTTCATTACACACAAAATATGCGACACCAAAAATCCCTCTGAATGTTTCTATTCTTTCTCTGAACTCTTTTCCAGGCCAGTTGCCTCGTTTTCTCCCCGCAGTTTCTCTCTTTCTCCCACCATAGCCTCTAAAATCCCCTCAGTTACTCTCAATTATTTTACCCTTGTCCTCAGTTTTCAAAGTCCCTAGCAACTCAAAAGCTCCAGATGATCTTCTGGTCCAGTCACCCTCAAAAGCAGCCAGGGCCCTTGAGCATCACATGTGTTTCAAGTGTATTTCTTTATTCATCAAAGTACTCAATGAAAACAAACAGCAAAAAAATCTAGATCTCTCTGGGTACAGATGGGGTACCCGAGAGAAAAAGGGAGTGAGAGAGGGAAGGAGGGATGTGTGGGGAGGAAAGGAGGGAAAGGGATTCTGCTACCAAGACAAGCTTGGCGGGGAGGTTAGCGGTTGAGTATAGTTCAGAGGTGGAGCACTTGCCCAGCATGTACAAGGCCCTGTGCTTCATCCCCAGCACAAAGAAAACACCAACAAACAAACAAAAACAAGTATACACACAGACACACACATATACACACACACCCTCTCCATAGCTCAGAATAATAGTGCATGGCTATAATCCTAGCATTCTGGGAATCTGAGGCAAGAGGATTCCAAGTTCAAGCCCAATCTGAGAGACTTAGAGAGATCTTCACTCCAAATTAAAAAAAAAAAAAAAGATGGAGGGAGCTGGGGATGTAGCTCTGTGTAAAGACCCTGGGTTCTGGCCGGGGAGATGGCTCAGTAGAATAAGCGCTTGCCTGGCAAGTGCAAGGGCCTGAGTTCAATCCCCGGTTCCAAAAAAAAAAAAAAAAAAAAAAAAAAAGACCCTGGGTTCAATCCACAGCATTAAAGAAACAGAAAGAAGGAGAGAAAGGAAAGGAGGAAGGGGTAAATGGAAAAGTAGGGGGGCTTTCTTACATAGAACAAGCACTGAGGGACTGGTATATATTTGTGTAATGCTGAGTTTAATCCTTGAGACCTCTTATAAAGTAGGCAATATGGTCTCTATAGATAAGAAAACTGAGGTTCAAAGAAGACAAAAAATTTGCTTGAGGTTATGCAGGCAGCAGAGCAGCTTCCATTTCCTGTCCTTTCCCACCCTCCCTGTGGCGCTGCACAATTCTTGCTTGTTAGTTTTTTTCTCTCCACTTGCCCAACCTATGTGTATCATGGTATCAAGCTGTGGTCTTCTCATAAAGCCCACAAATGTTTGTTGAATTGATTTTTAAAGGAATTAACTAATTTTGATCCAAAAATTTAGCTCACTACAAAGAAGGGGAACAGAAGAGCAAATTGATTCGATACAGGGTCTTACTATGCAGCTCAGACTCATAGCAATCCTCCTGTCTCAGTCTCTCCAGTGCTGGTATTACAGGCATGCACCACCATGCCTGGTTTTGGGACCAGCAAGCCATGTGGTGCCAGGGATCAAACCTAGGTCCCCGTACTTGCTAAGCAGGCGCTTAGACCACTGAGCTATCTCCCTAGGCAGATTTAAAATAAAATCAAGTAAGAGCTCCAACATGACAGTGGTAATGAAGAGCACATCTACTATCAACATAATGGTAGAGATGGAGAGAAAATACAACAAAATCGTCAGCAGTTGGTCCTTATTAACCATAAGCCAGGAGAGTGAACAAAACTCTTACTCTCATTTCTGTTTCTTAAAACAAGCATTACATCATCACCACTATTCTTAGGAAGGCATTTCATTTGTGGGAAAATATTTGATTTGGGTTTTTAAACTACTTTCCTGAAACAAAATGGCACCAACAGTCCTGAATGAGTAAGGCAACCTTCACAGCATGATGAGGACATGCATGTGACAGGTAACATGGCACATGTGTGCAGCCACACACACAGGCACACATGCTGTGGTTTCCCATCATAGGTAGGTTTTGTGACAAATCCTGTAGTTTTGTTGCTGGTCATCACTCACCACTGAAACAAACACTGGATAATATATTATCTTTGGGCTTAACCCTCAAGTCCTAATGACACACAGGTTCTACAGGCAGCTAAAATACACAAGCCTATGCTGACTTCCAGCAGGCCACATGCTTCCTTAGTCCTTCCTGCCAGTGGCCTCAGATCACAGTCAGCACAGGTGTCCCCTCTCCACAGGACTTGGGTGGGAGACTCCTAACTAATTCAAAGAAGCCATAATAGACAGGGAGGGTACAGTCCTGCTGTCAGTGACTCATCACTAAGCCTCTTCTCCACAATCACAATTTCTGGATCCTTCCACATTAACAGCAACTTCCAGTCAGAGTAGAGGTGGAAAAGACTTACAACAAAGTTACATATAAGGAACCACTGAGAAAACCTGAAAAAAAGACTACAATAACATCAGGTAAATAATGTTCAAACATTTTTTACTTCTTTTGACTACGCAAGGCGTTCTTGGCTGCAATCACGCAAACCTTGCCAGTTCTGGAAGATGACAGACAAGCCAACCATTCCGAAGGCCAACCAGATGTTGGGCCAACTGCCAGTGTACGTCCAGTTCTGATTGTGATTCAGCCAAGATCCAATGTGATGTTTTGCCAGCCA